TGCAAAAAAAAAAACACAAAGAGCACACGCGCGCGTTCATGTCAGAATCCTACCGAACACCGTGTGTTTGCAAGCATTTCAACATAAAAACATCAAAAACCCAATGCTTTTTTTCCACAAAAAATTGTACAAATTTCCCGCCCGGGCTCTCTTGCTGAAATCATAGGAAAACCATAGGAATCTTAAGAATTCTGTCAAATCCAGCGATTTCACGTCAACGCGCGGTGCACTCGCGATGCTCTGTCATGCACCCAGGCCGCGAATCCTGTGCAAAAAATACCACAAAAAGCACACTCGCGCGTTCATGTCAGAATCCTACCGAACACCGTGTGTTTGCAAGCATTTCAACATAAAAACATCAAAAACCAAATGCTTTTTCACAAAAATGCATTGGGGTGTCCTGTCAGACCGTCGGGCTTCCTCCGGCCACCTCTGGCTTCCTGCGGTGTACCGGGCCATTCTCGACTCGTCTGGCAATGCGTGCGCGGCATTCAACATGCGCTCGCCAGTTCCCGTCGGCAACCGCCATCGCGGCCGCATCAGCTGTACCAAACCGGCTGGCCGGTGTGACTTCGGCCCCCAGTTGTGCCAGCTTTGCTTCTTATGTTGTGGAGGGCGGGTGGGACTGGGCATGCCATGCTTGACTCGCTCGAGCTGGCTAGCTTGACTCTTACTCTTACTCTTACTCTTACTCTTACTACTACTACTACTACTACTACTCTTACTCTTACTACTACTACTACTACTACTACTACTACTGCTACTGCTACTGCTACTGCTACTACTACTACTACTACTACTGCTACTGCTACTGCTACTACTAGTACTAGTACTAGTACTAGTACTAGTACTAGTTCCAGTACTAGTACTAGTACTACGACTACGACTACGACTACGACTACGACTACGACTACGACTACGACTACGACTACGACTACGATTACGACTACTACTACTACTACTACTGCTGCTGCTGCTGCTGCTGCTACTACTACTACTACTATTACTATTATTACTACTACTACTACTACTACTACTACTTCTACTACTACTACTACTACTACTACTACTACTGCGACTGCGACTGCGACTGCGACTGCGACTACGACTACGACTACGACTACGACGACTACTGCTACTACTACGACTACTACTACTACGAATGCTAAACCCTAAGACGATGACGACTACGACTACTACGACAATAACTATTACGACTACTTGTGGGACTGCAAGCTGCGAACTTGTCGCCACTTTGAAGGGTTGCTCGGGCCTCCAGAAGAATGCTCATCAACGGTCATATACCAAGATGTCAAGCCAACGCTCGTGAGTGCTCGATGCGTTATCGTTTCACCTGAGGGGGGGGAACGAATAATTCATGAGGTCGTATTTTGGAACCTCGATTTTGCCTCTACTGCGATAGCCGGTTTCCAGTATTAATTGGTGACCTGCTTGCTGCAGGATGGCAGCAATCGAGAAGCATGCATCCAAGCTACACCCTAAGACGATGACGACTACGACTACTACGACTATAACTATTACGACTACTCGTGGGACTGCAAGCTGCGAACTTGTCGCCACTTTGAAGGGTTGCTCGGGGCTCCAGAAGAATGCTCATCAACGGTCATATACTAAGATGTCAAACCAACGCTCGTGAGTGCTCGATGCGATATCGTTTCACCGGAAGGGGGGATTCGAATAATTCATGAGGTCGTATTTTGGAACCTCGATTTTGCCTCCACTGCAATAGCCGGTTTCCAATATTAATTGGTGACCTGCTTGCTGCAGGATGGCAGCAATCGAGAAGCATGCATCCAATTAAACTATTGCCGGCGCTGGTAGGTTTGGCGGGCCGAGCGCGGGCGGTTTCCTGATTCCCCCCTCCTACTCCCTTTTCACCCTCTACCTCGTCACCGACCTCCTTGTATTTCTGCTCTTGCTCCCCCTCCTGCTCGCCCCTACTGCGCGCGCCGGGAGAGGATGAGGAGGATGAGGAGGATGAGGAGGAGGAGGAGGAGGAGGAAGAGGAGGAGGAGGAGAAGGAGAAGGAGGAGGAGGAGGAGAAGAGAAGGTGAAGGAAGAAGCCTCAGACCCCTCCTGCCAAACGCCCAACGCACAACGCCCGGCGCCCGAGGCACCCCCCGGGCGCCGCCGGAATGGTCGCCGCGGGCCAGCCGCCTCGGCCTCCTCTCCGCCTCCCCGGCGGGTCTCCTCATCGCCGTCCTCCCCTCCTGATCGCGCACCAATTCAAATGGCCCGCGCCCAAAATGATTAGATCAGGCGGAGGAGGAGGAGGAGGAGGAGGAGGAGGAGGAAGAGGAAGGGCGAAGCCTTCCGTAGATTCGGGGATCTACAGCTCAGTATGCCTAGGGACACGTCGTGGTCCCGATCCTGGCGCATGCTGCCTGGAGGGTGAATTTGTGCATGCTCCATAGCTTGGGGACTCACGACCCCACGCTGACAGTGGGCCGTGCCCTTTTGCGAGCTTGCGGCCGTTCGGGCCTTCTGGTATCCCGCCCTTCAGATTGACGCACATTTGTGGCGGTCTGCGTGGCATTGGGTCACGTTCCGAAGCCTTTCGGGCCCGACAACACTTTGATCCAATCTCCCGAGGCGTACGCCCGCACGGAGTGAACGGAGGGAAGTTTACTTTGCGCGCGCTTCCTCCCTGAGGTCAACGATGCGGGGTAAAGCATCACATAACCAGCGGATATCCTTGACCTCCCTGATCAAAAACCTTCTGACCCGGGTCAATGCGAACCCGGGTCGGTCAGGCCTTGCAGGATCCTGCAGGATCTTGCGCCCAAAACCGGGTCAATGCACCCCTGGCCATGGAGGATACTGCAGGCGGCGCTCTGACTGACCCGCTTTTGCATTGACCCCGGTCCCTTGAGCCTCGACCTTGTCCTGCCTCTGCGAGGGAGGGAGGAGGGGCGGGAGGGAGGAGGGAGGAATGAGGGAGGGAGCGAGGGAGGAGGGATGAGGGAGGGAGGGGCCCCCCTGACATTCGGTGCCTTTTGGGAGAACATTTTCTGCTTCGGCCGTCCGAGCCGCCCTCGTCTTGCTTCCGCCGCCCTCCGCTGCGGAAGGTGCCCTCCCGAATCCGCCGACCCTATCGGCGTGTGTGAGGGGCTTCTTCGTTCGAGTCGTCGACTTCATCATGCGTTTGTCGTCGTCTCTGGTGTTCCCTTTCCCTGCGCTCCAACTTTCCATAGGCCCGTCGCCGCTCCTACCCCCTCTTCCCTGGGCTCTCTGCGGCCGCCCTGCTCAGTCAAGCGCGCCAGTTTAAGCGAAATTCAACAACGTCGTGTTTGAGTCGAAGGGACAACCCTTCCCTTTGATCCCTCCCACGCCGGCAGAGGAGGAGGAGGAGGAGGAGGAGGAGGAGGAGGAGGAGGAGGAGGAGGAGGAGAAGGAGGAGGAGGAGGAGGAGGAGGAGGAGGAGGAGGAGGAGGAGGAGGAGGGGGAGGGGGAGGGGGAGGAGGAGGCGGAGGAGGAGGAGGAGGAAGGAGGAGGCAAGAGGCCTCCAGGAGCACTCTCCAGAGGGCCCCGAGAAGAAACATCACTGATTTCCTCAGGGTTTTTGGAGCATTTCGGCATTCTTGCCTCTTCCGCTTCCCGACGCTCCAAGACGGCCCAAGAGGCCCCCCAGACGGCCCAAGACGGGCCAAGAGGGCCCCAAGACGGCGCAAGACGCCTCCAGGACGGCCCAAGAGGACCCCAAGACGGTTCGAAGAGTGCCCAGACGAGCGACCAGAACGGACATTTCCAGCCCTCGGCCCCGAGAGGCCCCTGAGAGGTCCCCAAGAGGCTCCCAAGCGGCCCCCAAGAGGCTCCCAAGAGGCCCCCAAGAGGCCCCCAAGAGGCCCCCAAGAGGCCCCCAGAAGCCCCGAGAGGTCCCCAAGAGGCTCCCAAGCGGCCCCAAGAGGCTCCCAAGAGGCCCCTAAACCGTCCCCCAGAAGCCCCCGAGAGTGCTTCGAAGAGACCCCAAGACGCATCCGTGATGATTCTGACACACGTCAGCGTCGTCGTCGTCGCTGCCGCCACCATTGTCGTCGTGCCCCTGTCAGGGTCGGCGGCACCGGCCGTAAGGCTTTCGCGATATTTGTTGCTTCGGCCGTTCGAGCCGCCCTCGTCTTGCTTCCGCCGCCCTCCGCCGCGGAAGGCACCCTCCCGATTCCCCCTCGCAAGGCGGGCCCCTCTCTGAAGCGCCCTACCGTCGAAACGGTGTCAGAGGGAACCCTAGTTAAGGAACGAGGCCCTTGTTTGCCATGTATTAAACTTCGACCTCACATAGAAAACCTAAAGACAACCTACGACAAGCTGCAACACAGCTAAGGAGCACTGAGTCCCTCTCCAGCGAAAAGGGTTCCTTCTTCGGCGGCCGACTGTGCTGCGGGCCCACGTCGCAGTGATGTGGGCCTTGGCTCCTGACGCCAGGTTGATCGTTCGATCTTGAGCGCTCGCGGCCTTCTGACAGCACATGTCTTTCGCGACGTCGGCCCACTTCGGGCCACTGGCAAAATTCAACTTTGAATTCCTGCCGTCGGGGCGTCGACCGAAGGAACCCTCAATGAGGAACGAGGCCCCCTCTTCCCATGCGTTGAACTTCGATTTTCCATCGGACCCCCCAGGAATACCTAGAAAGCAAACTGTATGTAAAACAAGCACTGAACACTGAGCCCCCACCAACGATACGGGCTCCTTCTTCTCGGGCTGGCCATCGCTCGGAAGTCCATTCCGTGTTTTTTCCCGGTTTCGTGCGTGTTTTTTTCGCCAAGTGATCAATAATGCTCCTCGATGGTCCTCGCCGAGGAAAAAAACGCACACGTCCGAGCGATGCCAAGCGGGGGCGGCCAAGAGGGCTGCGTCCAAGAGCGGGGGGGGCGCAAATCATGGCCGGCGGCATGTGCGCGACCCCATTGCAGGCCAGGGACGCAACGAAACAAGAAGAGGCGCCACGAAAACCGGGGAAAGATCGTGGCCCACGCCATGATATCCACCCCCCTACAGCCGAGGTGCTACAAGAAGGAACGCCAAATAAGGCACGAAGGGGCTTTTCCGGCCACGGCGGGCCTAGGCCACAAACAAATCCCGCGACATGAATCTAAGGAGCGACCCAAACCCTGGAGCCCCTTCCGAACCCAAAGCGGTTTCAGCGTCTAGCCATAACTGGGGGAGCTGTGGTCCTTACCCCCCTAGGGGAACCCATCGCATCGACGATCTCTCGAGAGGGGTGTCGAAATCGATGGGTCCCCCAGAGGGGGTAAGGACCACAGTTCCCCCACTTGTGGCTGGCCTGTCTTGGCTGTGGCCATCACCCCCCTCTCTGCCGCCCCCGACAAGCGCCCGGTGCGAGCAGGATGCAGCGCCCAGTGCGCAGCAAATGCAGCGCCGAGCCTCCGAGCTCGGAGCGCCAAGCCTGGGGCGAAGGGGGCGGGGCGTCGAGGCGTCGAGGCGTCGAGGCGTCGGGGCGTCGAGGCGTCGAGGCGTCGAGGCGTCGGGGCGTCGAGGCGTCGGGACGTCGAGGCGACGAGGCGTCGGGGCGTCAAGGCGCCGACGCGTCGAGGCGTCGAGGCGTCGAGGCTCGGTTTTCGAGGCGTCGGGGCGTCGAGGCGTCGGGGCGTCCCCGATCTTCGGCGCCCCGACGGAGCGCCGGGGCCGCCGCCGCGCCAACGCGGCGCGAAACTGCAGAGTGGCCCCCTGCGCAAGAATGCCCTGTGAGGTGCGCGGCTGTCGGCGGCCAGGCGAGGGGGCCAGATCCAAGCGCGCAGGCAAGCGCCGGGGAGGAGGAGGGGGAGGAGGAGGAGGAGGAGGAGGAGGAGGAGGAGGAGGAGGAGGAGGAAAGTAGGAGGAGGAAGGGGGGAGAGGGGAGGAGGAGTAGGAGGAGGAGAGAGGAGAGGAGAGGAGGAGGAGGAAGGAGAGGAGGAGGAGGAGAGGAGAGGAGGAGAAGGAGGAGGATAGGAGAGGAGGAGGAGAGGGGGAGGAGGGAAAGAGTGTGAACAGGATGAGGAAAAGTAGTAGGAGGAGAGGGGGAGGCGGAGAGGAGAGGAGGAGGAGGAGGAGGAGGGAGGAGAGGAGGGAGGAGAGGAGAAGGAGGAGAGAAAGGAGAGGAGGAGGAGTAGGTGAGGAGGAGGAGGGGGATGAGGGGAGGAGGGGAGGAGGAGGAGAAGAGGAGGAGGAGGAGAGGAATAGGAGGAGTGGATGATGAATGATGTATGAGATGATGAAGATGAAGATGAGATGAGGATAGGAAAGGGATGAGAGGTAGGAGGAGAGGAGGAGAGGAATAGGAGGTGGAGGAGAAGGGGATGAGGAGGAGGAGGAGGAGGAGTGGAGGAGGAGAAGGAGAGGAGGAGGAGATGAGGGGAAGGGAGGACATGAGAACGGAAAGGAGAAGGAACAGGTTGAGGGAAAAGGAGAGGAACAAGGAGGAGGAGAGGAGGAGGAGGAGGAGGAGGAGAGAAGAGGGGAGGAGGAGAGGAGGTGAGAGGAGGAGGAGGAGCGGAGAGGAGGTATGAGGAAAGGAGGAGAGGAGGAGGAGAGGAGCAGGAGGAGAGATGGGGAGGAGGGGAGGAGAGGAGAGGAGGAGGAGGAGAAGGAGAGGAGAGGACGATGATAGAATGATGATAGTGATGATGATGATATGATGAAGGAGGAGGAGGAGGGAGAGGAGAGGAGAGGAGGAGAAAGGGAGGAGGAGGAGATATGAGGAGGAGGAGGAGGAGGAGGAAGGAGGAGGAGAGGTGGAGGAGGATGAGGATGAGGGGGAGGAGGAGGGAGGGTAGGAGGAGGAGGAGGAGGAGGAGGAGGAGAAGGAGGAGGAGGAAGAGCAGGAGGAGGAGGACCAGTTTAAACCCCAAGAGTCATCAACGAAATTGGGGTAAACCCTCCCCCCAAGCTCCCTGATCAGAGGCCCCGGCATGCGTTCATTTTCATTGATGGAAGTGCCTCGTTGGAAGACACCCGTCTGAAGACCCTGAAGCATGCCAAAACATTGTTCTCGGGATTTCAACGCCACATATCAACCTGACTGTTGCGCCTTGACGATCCCGAATCGTACCAGAACGCCCTTCGTGGGATTTCAACACACAAAAACAACGTAACTGTTGCACCCGCGTAACCCTTAGTCCTTCCAAAACACCTCTTCTGGTACGTTGGTGATGGGAACCTGTCAAACTCTTGAAATTTGTCAGAACGAATGTGCGCGGCGCCAAGGCGAGCACCACATGTTGAAAAAGAACCGCCCCCAATCCGTGAAACTGTTGTAACATTAAAACGAATGTGCGCCGCGCTAAAGCGAAAACTGCATTTTGAAAACCACTCGCCCTCAACCCGTGAAGTTCTTGCAATTTTCTGCAACGAATGTGCGCGGCGCTAAGGCAAACACTACATTTTGAAAAAGAGCTGCCCTCAATCCGTGAACCTCTTGCAAGCTTTTAAAACGAATGTGCGCCTCGCTTAGGCGAGAGACACATTTGGAAAACGACCCGCCCTCCATATGTGATGATGTTGCCAACTTTAAGCTTCAGGGTCATACGTGGTGAAGAACTCTCAGGCGAAACGCCCAACCCGCCGTAAAAACTGGCCGCGAGGTGCGGCAAAGAGAAATTATTTATAAAGACAAGAGATGGAGGAGGAACGTGGGGGGGGGGGAACAGGAAGAGGAAGAGGAACAGGAGGAGGAGGAGGACCCGCGTAATACCAAGCGTCATCAACGATGTTGGAAGACACCCTCCCTCTAAGTTCCCTCGTCATAGGCCCCGACAGTGGTTCATTTCCACTGAGGGAACTGCTTCGTTGGAAGACACCCGTCTGAAGACCCTGAAGCATGCCAAAACATTGTTCTCGGGATTCCAACGCCACATATCAACCTGACTGTTGCGCCTTGACGATCCCGAATCGTACCAGAACGCCGTTCTTGGGATTTCAGCACACAAAAACAACGTAACTGTTGCACCCGCGTAATCCTGAACCCTTCCAAAACACCTCTTCTGGTACGTTGGTGATGGGAATCTGTCAAACTCTTGAAATTTGTCAGAACGAATGTGCGCGGCGCCAAGGCGAGAACCACATTTTGAAAAAGAACCGCCCCCAATCCGTGAAACTGTTGTAACATAAAAAGGAATGTGCGCCGCGCTAATGGGCGCGATAACTGCATTTTGAAAACCACTCGCCCTCAACCCGTGAAGTTCTTGCAATTTTCTGCAACGAATGTGCGCGGCGCTAAGGCAAACACTACATTTTGAAAAAGAGCTGCCCTCAATCCGTGAACCTCTGGCAAGCTTTAAAAACGAATGTGCGCCTCGCTGAGGCGAGGGACGCATTTTGAAAACGACCCGCCCTCCATATGTGAAGATTTTGTCAACTTGAAGCTTCAGAATCATACGTGGTGAAGAACTCTCAGGCGAAACGCCCAGGCCGCCCTAAAAACTGGCCGCGAAGTGCGGCAAGGAGATCTTATGTATAAAGACAAGAAATGGAGGAGGAGCGCGGGGGGGGAACAGGAAGAGGAGGAAAAGGAGGAGGAGGACCCGTGTAAACCCAAGCGTCATCAACGGTGTTGGAAGACACCCTCCCTCCAAGTTCCCTCGTCATAGGCCCCGACAGTGGTTCATTTCCACTGAGGGAACTGCTTCGTTGGAAGACAACCGTTTGAAGATCCTGAACCATGCCAAAACATTGTCCTCGGGATTCCAATGCCGCAGATCAACCTGGCTGTTGCGTCTTGGCGATCCTGAATCGTACCAGGACGTCATTCATGGGATTTCAGCGCCGCGAATCAACATAACTGTTGCGCCCTCATAATCCAGAATCCTTGTTTCACAACGAATGTGCGTGGCGTTGAGCGACAATCACATTTTGGAAACGAGCTGCTCTCAATCCGTGGAGCTCTTTCGCAATGTTTTAAAAAGAATGCGCGCGGCGCTAAGGCGAAAAACACATTTTGAAAACTACCCGCCCTCAATGTGTGAAGCTGGTGCCAAATTTTAAGCTTCAGAATCATGAGTAGTGAAGAACTCTCAGGCGAAACGCCCGGTCCGCCCTAAAAACTGGCCTTGGGGTGCGACAGGGAGAGGAAAGGAATGGAGGAGGAGGAGGGGGGAGGAGGAGGAGGAGGAGAAGGAGGAGCAAACGGAGGAGGACCTGCTGGGCCCGCACCACAGGCCATCCTGGCACAGGGTCACTCTTGCGTGCAACTGACCTAAGCAATGGTGTGCCGCCGCCGGTACGACGCCGAGGCTGACGACAGCGGCGACCAGCGACGGCGACGACATCGACAGCGAGCGGCGGCGATAGCGGAGACGGCCAGCGACAACGACCAGCGACGACACCGGCGCTCATCTCCGGCCGAGGCCGGGGCCAGCCTACTGCTTCTTCTTCTTGGCCGCGACCTCTGCCGCGGCGCCTCGGAGGCACCCCGCGCGACTGGCAGCGATCCCGCTCGGATGGCGAACTGTCTGGGCGTTTGTGTGTGTGTGTGTGTGTGTGCGTGTGTGTGTGTGTGTGTGTGTGTGTGTGTGTGTGTGTGTTTGTTGTTGCTGCTGTTCATGTTGAATTCTTATTTCTAGACAAATGATCTGTTGACCACCTCGAATTTATTTTTATTTCTATACATATATATAATACATGTATGTTTATGTATATGTATATGCATATGTATATAGATGTAGATAGATATATACACATATGTATACGTGTTGGGGCACATGGTGTTTTCCAACCGAGGTGCCCTTCCTGGGGCTCGCACATTTTTTTCAGGAACATGCCCTCGCAATGCTTCAGCGTCTCCTCATCGCTTGCACGCCTCATGGCCTGTCTCGTGGGCTCGCGTTGCATCGCGAGCCGGCGCGCTTCTGCGAAACGGTGGAAATATGGCGGCATACCTCTCTGGCGAGATCCTGCTGTACGGAAAGACCCCTGCCCCTATGACAACCTCTGCTGGCCTGGGTGGTGCATTCCGGCTGCAGGGGGGGTGCGGGGGCGGGGTGGGGTCTTCGCCGTTTTCCTGAACAACACTTTGCCTCGGGCTCCACTGGGTGTCCGCTCGCGCTCGTTGCTGGTGGTTCTCGTCGCCGCGCGTGGTTTGCTAGTGCCCCTGTCGCCGCACTGTGCCAGCGCCCTTCCCGCCTGTGCCAACGCCCTTCTCGTCGCCGCGCGATGCATTTGCGGGCCTAGTCGTTGGTGCCGCCGCGGCCAAGTTCCCTGAAAGGAGCTTGTCGCACTCAAGTTCGTGGTCAGCAGGGCGTCTAGAAAGAGCCTCTGGCGCACGATGCTCTCCCATGGCCTCCTGCGAAGAGCTGCGTGTGACAGCTGCGTGTCATCGTTTCTCCCGCCCTCGCCGCCCCGTGAAGCTTTCACCTGCGCCTTGTCTTGGCTGGGTGCCTCGGATGTGTCTCCAGAAGAGGTCCAGTCAGGCAGCGCTCCTGACACACCCCTTGCTGGCGCAATGGCGCTGGCCGCTCCAGCGAGGGCGAGGACGACGCAAGATTTTTCGGCGCAGTGCGCCGTCTGCGGACTCAAACCTCGCTTCTAGATTGCAGAGGAGGAGGAGGAGGAGGAGGAGGAGGAGAAGGAGGAGGAGGAGAAGGAAGGTTCGTACATGTCCCTCGACCACGGGTCACGGATTCAACTTGACTTCTAGCCCCCCGGTGCCAACTGCGCCGCGCTCTTCGTGCGTGCGGCCCGGCGCCAACTGCGCATTGGAGCGCGGTGCGCTCGCTGATGGGCTCTGACTGCACCTCTGGGTCGCGGCGGCGTCCTGCGGGCTCTGGTCCTGGATCACGGCGGCGCCTGGCATGCGCCAAGTGCGCATTTGAGCGCGGTGCGCTTGGGCTCAGATCCTGGGTCGCGTGAGCGTTTTGCAGGCGCCAGTTGCGCATCTGAGCGCTTGCTGGCGCGAGTGTCGCGGTAGCGTGATGCGGGTGCCACGCGGCTCCGCTCTTCGCGCGCTCAAATTTCGCTTCTGGTGGCGGCAGCGTCCGGCCGGCGCCAGTTGCGTATTTGAGCAGGCCGCGCTTGGCTCAGATCGCCCAGGGCTCGCACCTTGTCTTTTTACGGCGGAAGATCGTGCAACTCAAACTGGGGCTCGCCCGAAACTTCCCGGTGAATTCTGCAAGACTCGCAGCATACGCGACCCACCCGCTCGACCCGCCCGTCAGGGTCCGCCCGCCCGTTCCGATGCCCCCGTGCTGCCCCTCGCGATACCGCAGTCGGACTTGAAGACCCTGCCGCTGCCTTCGTGGCCTCCTCGATGTCTTTCGTGGCGCGGCAGCGTGGATCTGAGCCCGTGGATATCGCTCGCGGTCGCTCTTCGTGGCCCCCATCGCTGACCTTCGTGGCCCCGATGTATCTCTCCGTGGTCCTCTCGTTGCCCTTCCTGGACACCCTTCGTGGCCACGCGGCCGCCCTTCGTGGCCCCCTCGCTGACGGTCGTGGCCCTGGCGTGGCTCTCCGTGGCCCTCTCGCCGCTCTTCCTGGCCCTGTCCTCTGCAGCCTTTCGTGGCCCCCTCCCGCTCAAAAGGGTTTTCCTGTTTGGGGGCGTCGTCCTCGGTCTTCTCCCTCCCTCCCCAATGTCCCCTTTCCCTTTTTACCTCCTTCCCCCTACTCCCCTCCTTCTCGCTCTCCCTTGTCCAGCATTTTCACACACACACACACGTATATGCAGCCCCCCCCCAGCACCCCATCCTCCAGCGAGCGATCACTCCGATGACCCTCCTCATCCTCCACCTCCACCTCCACCTTCTCCTCCTACCACTCCTTCTCCCTCTCCTTTTCCTCGTCCTTCATCTCCTCATCCTCATCCTCCTGTTCCTCCGCCTCAGCGTCCTCACCAAACATAGTCCAGCCTCCCCGCCTCCCAGACATCCCTCCTCGCCCTTCTCTTCCTCCTGCTGCCCCTCACCCTGCTTCATCTCCTCTTCCTCGTCGTCCTCGTCCTCGTCCTCCTCCTCCTCCTCCTCCTCCTCCTCCTACCCCTCAACCTGCTTTCTCTCCTCTTCCTCGTCCTCATGCTCCTCCTCCTCCTCCTCCTCACCCTCCTCGTTTTCCAGCGTGGGTTGTTGACCATGCTCCTCCCGCAAGCATTGTTGGCGAAGGAGGCGGAGAAGGAATATGAGGAGGAGGGGCGGAGAGACCACCCAGCACCCCACCCCGGCAGCGAGTGATCACTCCGATGATCTTCCTCCTCCTTCTTCTGCTCCTCATCCTCCTCCTGTTCGTCTTCCTCCTCCTCCTCCTCCTCAGCCTCCTCCTGTTCGTCTTCCTCCTCCTCCTCCTCCTCCTCCTCCTCTTCATCATCCTCATCCTCCCTCCTCCTTTTCCTCATCCGCCTCATCATACTCATCTTCTTCTTCTTCTTCTTCCTCCGTCTCAGCCTCCTCCCCGACTGGCCAGGAGGGCATCAGCCTCACCAAGATTGCAGGCCAATGGATTGCAACCCAACCGATCTCAATCACATGTATTTCAATGCAATCGGTTGCAGCCTAATCGATTGCAAT